CAAACAAGTCAAAATGCCAATTTTTTTTTTTTAATATAGAAATAGAAAATAATTAAGTCCTCCTGCAAGTTTCAGCAGTCAAAGCAAATAGAAAGAAGGCCTCTAAGTGTTTGGGGAAGGATGCCACTGAAGTTAGTACCATGACGAGCTGTTGAGGTTGGAACTGGTAAATGTGCAATATAAGAAATAGGAAAAGGAAATATTTAGAATCAAGAGATGCCAAAACTGCAATCAGCAAATGGAAGGCTAAAACTGATGAGCAAATCTGGATGCTTTTTTATTATTTATTTTTATTGTTTAAGCTGTGCCATGTAACCGCCTTGTTACAAGAAACAATCAATAACAGCTCCTAACCACCTCACTGCAGTGTCGTGTATACACTGCCACCCACATCCCTTGCAACATGAACTCAGTTGAAGAGGTATGTATAACGCTGCTGAGTAAAAGAGGTGCTGTCCCGCTCCTGCCTCCGGATGGTCAGCGCCTGCAGATGCAAACTCCCATGTCAGTCTGAGGTTTGAAAAATCTGGATACCTAAAGCCAGTGGGGATTTGTGATATCAAATACATGACAGAGATTAGAATTTTAGAGTGCATGGGGGAATGGAAATATAGACACTAAGACTGTCTCAAAAACTGCAAGTACTAGAAGTGCCCAATTATACAGTAGAGACAGTGATGTACATGAGAACAAAGTTATTGCATAAAGATGCAAGACAACCAGCTTGTGAAGGTGAACTACCCCAAATCACCAAACCCACTGCTGAGACTGCAGGATAGCACCACAACAGCGGGTACTGCAGAGCCACAGCCTGACAGAGGGGCCAGAGGCATGAGCACACATAGGCAATAAGCTGCAGGTGGCTGGCAGGGAGAGCAGATGGCTATCGTTGCCAAACTCACACACACATCAGCAAAAGCCACCAAAAGCAACATGTCATTTGCTGCCAGTAAAGCAGGGAGAAGACAGGTGAACATACAAGAAGTGAAGCAGCTGGGACACATACACATCTCTAAAGGACCCAAAGCAGTGGGAGGTGTTGACGGCACAAAGCATTTCTATTTAAGGATAGAGAATGCAAAAGAATTGCTTCATAAAGTATTCTCTGTTCTGCAGGAAAAGTAAATAGGCTTGAAGGACAGGTGATGTCTCTGAAATATGCAAATAGAGCTGAGCTGGTCCAAGCAATTACCTTTCCAGTGCCTGGAACTTCAGACTGAAAGGAATGACTCACAAGAACGAACAAGAAACAAAAGATGTGCTAAAAGGTAGAAGATGACGAAGGAAGACTGCATCAAGAGGAGAATGAAGGCAAGCATGGAAAAGTATAGTCTGACCTCCTACTAACAGCTATTCTTGGGAAAAGGAACAAAACAACTTACAACACAAAACACAGTAAGACCCATGCCAACAGAGTAAGACCTAACTGCAAAGCATCCAGAACGGCAATTGTCATTGTTGGTTGTAGACTTCTGGGTTCATGATAAATACAGCACGGAGATTCCTGCAGCTTCATGAATGTAAAGACAGTGGATCTCACCTCAATATCCTTTAGGTCATCTGCTATTTTAAAGATTTCGTAGCAAACAACTGCTGAAAATAAATGTAGTATGATCATTTCTTTCCAGGTTTAGGCAAAGCTCTGAAAGAAAAGATTAGGCACGACTATCAGACAACCTGCTAGCAGCAAGGGTGAAGAAGAAACTAAACCACATTGGAAATGGCTCATCTCCATGGCTAACAGATGTGCCTCTACTGTCAAAAGTGGCATACCAGCTTCACAGAGCAGAGAACAGCTGTGCCACTGCCCCTTCACATTCAGTTGTCTCCTGATTACGTGCAGGTACTCCAAACTCCATGCAGGAACAGGAAGCAGCAGGTCAGATTTTGGCTGCTACAGGTGTTCTCATTGCTTCCGAACAAAAATTCGGGCTGCTACTACTGCACCAGAATGCTTTTACTTTGGGTTTTTTTTTTTCCATCCAAAACAAGCAAAGATTAGTAAATTATAGCAGTTACAGTCTGATGCTGAAAATGTACTAATACAGAAACTGCAAGGTCAATATGAAAGAATGAATCAATGAAGAATCAAGAAAAAGAAATGAAGAAGCGGATCTATTTGGACTGCATAAGAAATACTGCATTTAGTTCCATCCTACTTATTAAGAAAAATACTGACAGCCTGAAAGCTGCCGAATAGCAGCAAATCTGCTGGGAAAAAATGAACCTATGATATAGATAAGGTGTTTTTAAATTTTAAATTTTGCATATTTGGTACTAAAGGATCAAGACATTAAAAACCCTTTGCAAATATATGAAACAGGATACTGAGGAGGATTTAAGATAACACACAAGAACAACTTTAAGGGATGAGATGAACTGTTGAAGAGAAAATATGTAGGCAATACTGAGAAAGCTTTACAATAGCAAAATTCATGAAGCTGCACAATGAGAAATTCAACACCCTTGTACTGTAATTACTATTTATGATTCACAGTGATCTGAAAGCTGAACTTTTCAAATTTGTACCAAGCACTTTACACTGCTTTTAACCAAATACTAGGAGTATTTCATTCATGATCTATTGAACGCAAGAAAAATTCAAAGGAAACCAGCAGATGAGCATGTAAAGGAGACACAATGACAGTGATGAAGCACCTTGTAATGTACCCACAGATCTTTTCTATAAATCCAATTTGAAATTTGAAGACTAAAATAGCTATTTTATCTCCATCCCCTGACACATGCATCTCCATCATTTTAAAGAACAGAGCTCCCTCTCGTGGCTCCAGAAGGTGGATTGGGGGGTGGGAGGAGGGGAAAAAAAAAAAAAAAGAGTACAGAGCAGCATGAGACCACTGGGAGTGAGAGGACTCCTGATAGCATTTTGGTCATATGAAAGTGGAATTAAAAGGAAGATGTAGTAGGAAGGACAGGTGACTTCTTTTAAAGAAAGCAATGTCACATGTACTTTAATGCTAACTTTTAAATTACATTCTCTGCTAATGTAACTTCCTCTGCTAGGCCTTTCCGCACCTGAGCATATTCCTTCAATGTAAAGCACTCGGATCTCTTAACAGGTTTCTAGCTCAGTCATAGGCAAGGCAAGGTAAAGGAAAGAGTCAGGACAAGAAATGTGGCACCTGTGCAGCAGTGCAGGGACAGTAAGCCAGGTAACACTCCATGGATTTTCCTCAGCATTACAGCTCTGTGCACTGAGACAATACAGAGGAAAAAAATCATTGGCTTCAAAAAGTCCAGAAATATACGCATAGTTACATGAGAGAAGCATGTCTATTAAACAGGGCGAGAAAAGCATCTGAAGAAAGAAAAAAATCACATTTATTTAAACCACTCTGCCAACTCAGCCCTGCCATCTTCATAGAAACTTCTGTTCAATCTCCAGCATTGCTCTCCTCCTGCAAAACCACACTTCTTGCATCAACTATTCAAAAAGGGAGGACAGAGCAAGACATGAATGAGCAAACACACTGGTGCAACAGCATTACCCAGCACGGTCTAGTTTCTGCTGAGTCCTGGGGACAGGCTTATGGAAGGACAGCAATAGGAAGAAACGTGCTCACGCACATTCCTTCCTCACCTTAGGAGCAGTACTGCAAACCATTCTTTGTTTGCTATATGGCTTAATTTTTTATTTTTTTTTAAACAGATTATTCCACTTTCTTAGCTGACAGCTTTGTAACCCAAAGGTCACATCTGTGACAATAAGTATTTCTCTACAGCAAGAAAGTGGAGTACCCAAAGCTAAGCTTGTCACCAGGCATGAGAAGTCTTTTTATAAACAGAAGCGCTACCCATAAAAATTCAGGAAAGTGTTGGGTGTTTTTTTGTTGTTCCCCCCGCCTTGTTTAATGAATATTCATGTTTCACTTTACATTGCTAGACACTTTCTTCATTCAGGATCGTACGTGGATTCTTTCTAATTTATTTCTGTATGAGAATTTTAGATTGGACAAGAATTTACACAGCATGCAGCTAGCTTTTGCTAACTGCACTTCACAGCATATTGCTAACTGCACTGCACAGCATATAAAACTATTTTCCCCGAGGGCATTAAAAAGGGTTTCCTCTAAACAACAATATTTCTCTGCCACAAAAACAGGACCAACACCATGAAACATGAACTAGTAAAGAAAAAACAATTACTCTTAAGTCTGTAGAACAGCATCAGAAGACAACCGAGAATCAAATTCTTGATTCATAGGCTTGTGCTCACACAAGGTTTTGCTTCCAAAGTGCAGGACTAAAAAAGAATCAATCTCCCACCGTGAAAAGAAATTACCATGCCTTCAGCATTTTCCTATTAGTGAAATATCTCCACTATCTCCAAAGGCAATACTTTTTTTAAAGAACAATCCTCTTTAAAAATTGTATAAAAATTAGTCTATAAACAGGGAGATATCCTTAAATATTCAATCAAGTAATAAACCTGGTAGATGAAAGACAGATTAATTAAAATGACAGTACAGTCTCCCTATAACACACATATACAGGACTTAAAAATACACTTGTTATGTTGGAGTACCTAATCATAATCAGATTTGGTAATTTGCTGCATTGAAACAAAAAGGAAACATTTTTAGAATTGATCATTCAGTTCATGTCACTTTCATGGAGATTACTTTGTATTGATCAACATTTAAATAGTAGCTGAAAAGAGAAAGATGAGAAAAGGATAAAAAGTATCTTTACATGCTAAATACAGCATGAACCAATAAGACCAAAATAAATTAGATCACTATAGCCAAACCAACCCTGTGCATGCGCTCACTGTAATGAAGATAATTATGAATGAAAGAGATGGTTCTTCATGTTTCAGTCATAACAAAAGGAGAGGTTTAAAAATGAATTTAGACTTTAATCTGCTCAAAATGAAGTTTGCCATACAGCAATTAAAATCTGTGTAAAGCTGAACCATTGTTAGCTTTACAAAGACAAACGGTGGCTTGTTTTCTGAAAAATATTTTCATATTTCCTACCTGTGGATTCCAACTGGGGTCCAGTTTTTTCACTGTAGCAACATACTCCTGCATAGCTTGATGAGGGCTGGTATCTCCCAGGGCTTTCCAAGCCTCCCTAGGAGAGCAAGCAAAACATCAGCAAGACACTCAGACAGCACAATGTGGTTTTTTTAGTGTCATCAGCAAAACACAGTGAATGCATTCATCCAAATACTTTCAAGGGGTGCAAAGCCATCTTTCATTCAATTTGAAATGGTCAACTTGTCTCTGAAGCCATGAATGGCCACTGTCAGTGCAGCACTGCCATGAAAGGATCTTTCAGGGGATCCTGATCCAGGCTGGAACATAGTTTGTGTTCAGAAAGTAAAGCTGTTTGTAAAACTGTAGCTATTTTCATAAAATTTTTGTTGTACACAGGCTAATTCTGGATGAACAAGGTAAACACAGGGGTCTGGTATTTAATGTCTGCATCAGGCATAGCAGCAAACATTTCCCTCTTAAACAAAGGATTTTAAAGCCAGTTTAGTGGCAGACTCCAAGTTGACATCCTCTTGGTCCATAATCTGTCAACAGATGAGACGATGCAACAAAAAGTAGAGCCAGAAATTGCTAAGAATTACAAGGATTTCCTCTTACCATTTTTGCTTTCCCTCAAAATCAAAGAAGCTTGGCTTGGGAGTGTTACAGGTTCCAAATTTCACCTAAAGAAAAGAAATTTCCTTCTGTTAGAACAAAGCAAGGGGAAGCAGATTTGGGTAAGGAAATACTGGGTTCTGATGGTTTCAGGGTAATTTTGTTCTTGTGCCACAGGAAAGGTTTTTGGGGGAAAGAACTGACACTACTCAGCCCCATCTTACCCTCATTTTAGCTCTCGTAGTTATTAGCACCTCTGCATCCCTGTGTTTTCTTTGCATGATGCAAGGGAAGCAATTTTGTTATGCAGCTCATTTCTTTTGCATGCATTACCCAACAGGGATAACCAGCAAGTGATTTCTCACTTAATGTTATGTTTATTACCCAGCCAAATGCCTCATCCTCCACCAGTATCAAGAAAAATTCTGTTGATTAGGGTTTCTACAGAGATGATCATTCATTAAGGCTGAAATTCACCTGCTTCCGCACAAAGCTCAAGTGTAAACAGACTTTGCTTAATTATTTTCAAGGTCCTCTGCAAGGCAAGGGGACAAACTCAGAGCAAAGGAATGCCAAGCAGCTTCTAAATTTGCTCTGAGGCATCTGGCTGCATAGGAAGCACTGTGTGAGAGACAAGTCAAGGCCTGAGTGCCAGAGATGAACCAGTCCATCAGAAGCAAGCCAGAAATTAAAACGTGGGGGGAGAAATAAGAAACACAAGAAAGCAAGGGAACAAGCCAGAATTGGTGGATAGATACATGAACAAAAACTTATAGCCAGTGTAAAATGGACTTGGTGCCAGCAGAATTCAGGCAGTTCTCCATAGGGTGGTATATTGATGGGACAAATACAAAGCCCTTCCTCTCACTGCAGGGAAGTCTAACAGCTCTATCTCCTCCATAAGCTTGCCCACAAAGGGGAACACAGGACTGACAGAGGCTACGCCTGCCCAGGGCTCCAAAGGCACAACCACGTTCCTGCAACAGGCCAGCACTGACAACTGCCTCAAGAACAGAGCAATTAGCAGGTTGAGATTTGGGTAACAGAGCTATTTTCTTGACGTCTGCTCAGGAGAACGTATAAGTGAATGTGCCTCTGTCCCTGCCCGGAAAAGCCAGGGAATATGGGTCAGGACCCACCAGATCTGGCTGTTATCAGTGTCCCTTTCTCATAGGAAATAAAGTGCCTTGCACACAGGTGTCACTGGTAAAATGAATCTAACTGAAATGAAAATATTGTGATAGGGAATGAATGAATTTACACAAAACATGGGGGGATTTATTTTTGTTGTTGGGTTTTTGGGGGCTTTTTTTACTTTCATTAAAAAAGTGCTATATATCCCACAGGGATGACGGATGAAATACTAGAAACCAGAGCAGAACCACAGCTCCAAATGCAACAGTCCCTGTGAGGCAGTTCTCACAGCAAGTCTCTGTAACACAGGGCACAGCCCAGTGCAAAAAAAGCCCAGCACAGATGGGGTATTTAAACAGACCCCAGGGAGGGAACACAGGTATGTTCTGGAGGTGGGCAAAGGCTGCTGGTTGAACATTTTGTTAGCCAAGCAAAACTAAACTGCATTCATCAAATGTTTTATGAAATATGCTCAAGTGTTCAGGCAGGTGAAGTGCTTAAATCAACTAACAATTCTTCACCTTAACAGGGTGGGGATTTTATGCTGAGGATGGAATCATTAATCAGGCTTTAAAGAGAGCATGCCCATACCGAGAGATATTTATTAGTTACACTATGTTTTCATTTAAAGTGTTAGAGGATATGAGTGACTGTAACTGAAATTAATTTTCTGTACATCTGACTGTCTCCCAGTGAGCAATTCATTCAAATTAGAACATCTTAGCTGGCCTTTAAAACAACGTATCACATTTCCTGGAGAAATAGGAGAAAGGGCTAGCAACGGTTAGTCCTATAAATCAGTCACAATTCATGTAGTGTAAATGTTTCCTCCTGTGCTCAGAGGTAGATTGGACCACTTGTTTTAAAAAGCAAAACAAACATGGAAATAAAATGCAAATTCATTACCTGTACGGAAAACGCCTGCCTGGCAATTCTTTAGTTCAACATCTAACCAGCAAAAATTGGCCAAGTTGGATAAAAAAAAAAATATCTGTTTTAATATTAATTTTCCACTGCCATCATCAAAACACGACAGCAGTTTCCCCTCTTTAGATTTGGCATTCAAAGGCCGTTCTAGCATCGGGAAAGACTGTTAGTAACATCAATAGTAACACAAATCAAGGAACAGTAGTTAAATTTCATCCATCAAGAGGGGAAAAAAAAAGTGCACTTGTGCCCCGTTTGCTATTTTAAGATATATTAAAAAGGCTTGCAGTGGTTTTGTTGGAAAGAAGAAAAATGTTTTGGCTTCCCTCTTTTTGCTGCAAGACTCTGTAACACATCAGAAACCAGTCAGGAACCTAACATTAGAGGTGACCCGAGCCTGACAGCTGAGGAAGGGGAGTTTTAGCTAAATACGCGAATGCTGACAAATACTGGGGGATTTCGTGAAATTTTGTGAAGGACTCTGTCCTCCTGCTATTTCCCTGGAGGGCCTCAAAAGCTGTTTTTCTCCATAACCAGCAGAAAGACAAGAGCCTGTATTAGTATTTCAAGTCAAGAATTTCTCATCCTGTGTCCACAGAATAATTACCGATGGTCTCCAGGGGGCTGACTGGTCACTTGATGCTTAGCTCTCCTCATTTACAGTTCATCAGTTGCATTAAAAAAAGACAGCCAGAATGCATTAAATACTTTCCTAGTATTGCTTCTGCGTGCAGAGTCGCCCGCAGGCATTACACTCATGAATCGTACAAAGATGACCCAGGCACCTCCAAATGGGAAGTGTCTGCAGACACCTCCATTTGTGGCCAAAATGGAAATTTAGAAACCTTGGATGAAACCTTCACCTGAGAGCTGAAGGTCACAACATTCAGAAGAGTGCTCGGATAGACAGATGCTCAGAGATCTGTTAGTGCTGCATACCATCCCCATACAACTTCAGTTGCTGGTCCAGACTGTGAGAAACCTTGAGATTCTCCTTACACATTACTCCACAACTGACCGCCCCCCGCCCCTGGTGGTGGTGGGAAAGCAGCTCTTTGCTAATTTTTCAACTAATACATTTATACAGCAGGGAGTTCCAGCCAAATATTCTTACCTGATTGTAAATCTTGTGAGGTGAATCATATTTGCAGCCTCCCTATGGAGTAGTAACAAGAACAGAACTGGCCTCCACGGACAGCAGGACTAAGCTCTAACTGTACGCAGACCAAGTAAGCTGAATTTCTTTGGCAAGACAGGAATTCCTGCCTGTTCGGGCCCAAAGTTCTGCCTCATTAACCTGCCCCAACCCATGGGAAAGCCCTATACTCAACTGACTGAAAGTGGGGTGTAAGGAAGAACAAGCAAACATCAACTACCGAAGGCAAGAGGTCCTGGCCCTGATGACCAAGGGGCTGTATGTCCCAAAGAGACAGAGTGACGCTGGTAACACCGAGTCAGCACCATCACACTGCTCCGTACAACAGGAAGCTGCAGGCAGAAATGCTCACGTTCAAGGCAGAATTGTGGCATCATGTTCTACAATATTTGAAAGATGTCACGCAAAAAATGGGATTATATACTTGAGCCTACACTCACCAGAGACACCATAAGCCCTGTTTTGCCAACAGCAGTGGATTTCCAGCTTGCCTGCACTTCTCAGCATTTACTTAGGCACCAGCACATCCTCCTGGCAGGGCAGGGTTTTTTTCAGTCTGATCACTTCCAGCAAGTTCTGGAATCCCTCCCCTCTCTGAATGATGATCACTGCATTGGTGTCCATTACTACACTTTCTGAACCTCAGTTTTTTGCATCCTCAACACGATAGGCAAGCACTATCTTCACTTCACCACTACAGACTCAAGGCACAGACAAGTCATTTGCTCAAAGCCATGCAGAAAGTAGGGGGAGAAAAAGAAAATCAGTCCCAGTCCAGAGCCCTGCCAACTAGTCTGTTCTTCCTCCTGTTCTGGGGCAGAGTCATAAACTCAGCAACATCTTCTGAAAACCTCGCTGGTGATGACAACTAAGCAATCCCCTTATTTTCAAGTCTCTGACACATAAACAAAATCAGAGAGAAAAGTAATAAAATCCTGAAATGGCCTCCAATAAAAGGTAATAAAATTCCAGGAAAATGCCTATATACCCAAACAGTTTGAAATAAATAATATACAGTATTTTAACAGAGAGCTCAGCTGTTACTGTCACCTCTTTTATGATGGTGCTGTATCTTAAATCAAAGCCCTTAGTGACATAAAACACTAAACTGAGGAAAGACAAGGATGCCAAATCAAGGACAGTGGACAGATCTGAGTCAGCACCTTTTGTGCGCTAGCAATACTACTGTCCACCAGAGTAATATATTAGCAGCCCATTATGCATACTGATAGAGCTGCTATAATTAAATAGAGAAAACTTGCATTAAGCACCCTCGTCTTGATTTAAAGCACAAAATGCTGCGAAACTCAAAGTTAGCAGAGCATAATCCTGCAGTAGCTGTGCTAGCAAACTTCGATCTCCACCACCAGCGCTACCCTCCCAGGCACTCTAGCAGAGATGGCACCTTTCTGGACAGCACTGGGCAGCCAAAGGCACAGAAACTCAGGAGCCAAGCACAGCCTGAAACCAAGGAGCACAAAGGCACTTGCTGTTGCATCCTGCTTGGCCAGGGACACAAGGGACAGAGGAGAAGAGGACAGAAATGCCCTGTTACCCTCAGCTGAAGGCAACTGGAAATCTGTGCTGAGAGAGTGTTAATTATCAGCTTTTTCTGACTTGTATCAAAACTGTTGTGAAATAGCTTCTGATTTAATGTAATTTTTAACATTAAACACCTTATTGGTCTTAGAGAGCTAACACCAGGAAACCCTCTGGAGCCTGTTGACAATCATGAGCTGATATGCAAGTAATGCCTTCCCATTTCCAGCTAGGACAGTTACAAAGCGTTTGCAACAGAGTGAAAAATAAGAGTTTATTTGCAACAAATCTCCTGAGAATACAGACAAAAAGTTACAGAAGAGAAAAAACATCCTTTCCTTTCATCTTATCCTAGGCATGGTCTTGGTATTCTTAGAAGTTCTCCTAGTATTTTTTTCCCACCCTCCGCTTTCTTAAAAAGGGAGAGAGAAACCTGGAGACCTGTTTAAGCACTAGAAAAATCTGAAAACAAAACCTAATGTGACCAGTCTGCTTTTAATACAATTAATGGCTCACAAACCACAGCCTAGGAGTCACCAGCTTAGAGAATAATTAAATATTGCATTAAAAAATGAAAGCACTTATAAGTGGCGGTAGAAGGACAAGAGTATTCCATATGGGAGGAAAATAACAGGGAAGATGCGCACACCCAACTTCGACAGTTAATCCAAATGGGCAGGATTCAGTTTTCAAGTCAAGGCAGCATCTCTTGCCACACACCTGAATCATGTTTGTACTTTTTAGTCTTCCAGGTGTAACAATACTTACGATTTTTCTGTTTCTTCAGGTTAGGCAATTCTTACAGTCCTTTGTATCTTAACGGGTGCTTTTTTGTTTGTTTTATGTAACTTCTCCCACAGGAGCAGGAAAAGATCACACTGTGTATTCCCACAGGATGCATCCTACAGCTTACTCAATTCACAGGGACTGAATGGGAAAAGGAGTCATGTTCAACATTATAACTAGAACCAACCAGTTCAGTTTCCCAGTCCGCTCTAAAGCCCTCTGCAGACAGATCTGCACCAGCACATCCTTCACGCGGTCGCATCAAAACCCCAAAGATTTAATGCTCACACCTGGGTCGTTACTGCAGATCCCCATTGTCTCTAACAAGGAGGCGAGCACCAGTGCTACACACCATTTAATCACCTTCTCTAACCTGTCCCAGTCACCTCATCACCCAGCACACGCAGGGAGCCTGGCAAACGCCGGTGAGGCAGCTGTATTTACCCATCAAGTCACTCCGCGAAGACTCAGTGGCCGCTCGGACAGGCCACCAACCCACCGGTGACCCATCACAGCCAACTACAAAGGCCAAATCCTCCACGCCGACACCCGCCTTCGCTCCCCCACGCAGCCCACGGCAGCCAAACCGACGTCTCCGCAGCAGAGGCGAGCGGTGCGGCCTTGGGGCTGTCCGCACTGGGCGAGGGGGAGAGGCGAGGAAGGACAACGAGCGTGATGAATTTGGCGGGACTCTCTCCCTCCCAGGCTTCGTCTGCCTTCGCCACAGGTGAATCCGGCGGTGCCAAACTTTGCGCTGGGCGGAAAGCTCCCCGCAGCCCCCTCTCCCACACCCCCCGACGCCACTTTTCCCACTTGGCATCGTCACATTTCGTGCGGTAGCCACGCAGGCCCTCGGCCGGGAGAGCCCCAGGCCCGGCCACTCGCGTACCAGGCCGGTCCCCGTCCCGCTCCTTCGCCCGGGGCTCCCGGCCTGGCCCGCCGCCCGGGG